ACATTGTAAGGGCTTCGTGATAAGATCATTACGATCTTCTTGAAGTCCGGCCTGTACTATTTAATTATAAATTTCACTATATATATTTTGACTCACGAGACTTGTAAATATTAATTTACGAAACTTGTAAATGTTATATGTACGGCAAATATATGAATAAATAAAAAAAAAAAAAAAAATCATCAAACTGTAAACAGCATTACAAAATGGTAGTAATATATTCAATTATATGAATAATTTTTTGTCCCGATATGCCCCACAAAAGTCATTTTACTGAAATTAATACTATTCAAAAAAATTCAATTCTAAATATTTTTTTAAAACCAGATTCTAAAAGAGGATAAAAATTACTGTCCGAAAAATATAAACTTTTTATAAATAAAGCAAGTTCGCAATAGTTCAAGGTAAATCCTTTGTTGTTGTATTACTAAAGAAAATACGGAAATTTTTTTTTTCGTAAACTTACTGATGCATTTTGGTACTTCTAAAATTATAATTATTTTTTTTTAAGATAAAAAAACACAATAATCTAAAATGTTTTATCGAAAAAAAATTTTAGAAAATTTTTTTCAGCTGAGATAAAAGGCATCATTGCCCCGTTATGTCCCGACTGTCCAGATATGTCCCGCTCTATCCTTAAAATATATTTGTTTTCTAAAATCTCTATGAAAATGCGAAATAAATATATATAATATAAAAAAAGCTTTTTTCGTTTACAATATAAGGGATTATATCCTAAATGCTAACGTTTGAACCCAAATATTTTTGCAACTTGATGTGATGGTGAAAAATGACTTGCGTATTTGAAATCAAAATGAGAAATGCACTACGGAAAACGTATTGTTTTCTCGGTAACAGAATAAAAAATTTTTTGTTGACCTGTGTTATTTATTATTTATTAAGTAATAGGTATAAGAAAAAAATTGCATATCGGTACAAGAATTATACATATCGGTACAAGAATCATATATACCGGTACAAGAATTATACATATACAACGTACTAGAGAATTATAAGGTTTAATTATGAAAACAATAACTTCAATTTTCTTGGTAAAAAAGTTTATGATTATAATCTTTTAATTCTGTTTTAAATCTTTTATTATTAATTATATAATACTTAAATACGTATGGTTTTTTTTTTTTTTTTTTTTTTATTGTTAAATTCAACCTTATTTAATAAAGTTGGGATTATTAACAATTATTATATAATTAACAATTAATTTGTAAACGAGCATTTTTAAAAACAATAATATAAGATTAATTATAAAGCATAAATAATATAAAAACATATATTTTATCAATATAAACAACAAAAGCTGTAAAACATTTTAAATAATTATAAAAATCGAAAGTTAAATTCTCTTAAAGTTACAAAATGGAGATAGAACCCTATTATTCTAACGTCACAAAATTTTAAACTTCAATCAATATTCTCTAAGCGTTCAAAACTTTATCTTTTTCATGATGCTAAAAATCAAGAAACTAGATTACTTGATAAAATACTTGAATTTAGAAAAGAAAATATATTCATAGACAACAACTAATATAAGTTCAAATGTAATGAAAGCAATACACCTCAGCTAAGTCATCAACAACAAGCTTTGGTGCGCTGATCATGATGATTTCGTTCTTAGATACATTTAATTATCACACAAGCTTTAGCTAGTGTTCCTGGGAAAAATTTTAAAAACAAAAATAATTGGTTGTACACTTCAGTTAAAGCAACAAGTATTTTAACTAAAGTTGCTATTGCCCGGTGGGAAATCGGCTAGCGAATAGCTAGCTATAATTGTTACGATAAAGACAGCGATTTGGCCACGAGGATCGCTAGCTTTTTTAAGTTTTTTTTTTTTTTTTTTTTTTTTTTTTTTTTTTTTTAGTGTTATTTATTTCGCCGTAAAAAAATGTTTACATTGCATATATATTTATATAAATAGATGGCTGGAGCAAGAAGAAGGCACATTTCGCCTTATCGCCGAGCCCCATTAAAAATTCTACATAACCGTAACATACAAATATATATATAAAAGAAACAATTAGAAATGAAATAGAAAATAACTAATATAATAAAAAAAATAAAAAATAAGAATTAATTAAGAAGCGTTAAGATGCTTAACAGTTGCTAAAATGTTTAAGAAATAAGTTAATATAAAAAAAAAAAAATTCCTGAATATAAAAGAAATTGAAAAAATAAAATCTCATAATTAACACTAAATGAATATGTAACATCATCACTTATGACATCATCACTTGTGACATCATCACTTGGATTTCTTATTCTTTTTTTTTTTTTTCTTTTTTTTCTTTTTTTCCTTTTTCTTTCTTTTCTTATTCATATTATCATATATCATTGATATAATTGAATCTGTTTTTTTTTATTTTTTTTTATTGTGTTTACTTTAAAATAAACATTTAAAGTCGGATTTATTGAGATCCATGAACAATAATAATCGTTTTGATTCATCCTTAAATTGCTCTAATGTAGTCTGCTTTTTGTTAACAATATCTGGAAATTTCTTCCACAGATAAGGTCCGCGGTATTTAATTGAATAGGAAGTTAATTTTAATTTATGTTTTGGAACAACAAAATTGTTTTCTGAAAACTTTGTTGAGTACCTATGGTTAATTTTATTAAAATAAGATTGAAATATTTTAGGAGACAATTCCTTTTTTGTTTTAAACATAAACAATAAAACTTGGTGTAAATTGAGTTTATATACATTTAAAGCACCGAGCACACTTAAAAGTGTCTGTCGGCTCCAAATACTATTCTACATGCATGTTTTTGTTTATTGTAGAGTTTATTGTAGAGTTTATTGTAAGTTACGAAAAGCTATCGATATTTTTAAAGATAAAGACTGCGATTTGGCTACGAGGACAGCTAGCTTAACAAGCTGAAGATCCACTGGCTATTGTACCTAGCGTCATATCGTAAAAAAATCGTTGTCTAAAAAATTTTGATATGTAGCTATCAACCAGCTATAGATTTGTAGATATTTTGTAGCTAGCTACAAAGCTACGATATGTAGCTAGCGACACATTGCTACAAAATCGCAATGTTTAAAGTTCAATTATTTTCATAGTTATAATAGACTAAACACTAAAAATCGAATTTTTAAAGATGTTAAAGACGTTTGCAAAACATAAAATAAGGAAAAAAAAATCGCTAGAAAATCGCTATAGAGCTAGCTAGTCGCTAGCTCATTTCCCACCGGGTGAGCATAAGCAACCCTAACTTAGCTTGTTCAGAAAATAGCAACTTGTTGGAATTTATACGGAGACAATTAAAATCTATTATTGATCTAAAAGATTAGTTATTATGGCAGAAACGTCAAGTAAAATTGAATGCCTGCTGTTGACGAAGATAATATCATCAAAGGTATTCTTGCCCGATGCAATTGATAATATCGTCTTCATCCAATTCATAAAATAAAGGCAAATTATAAGATCTGAAAAATCCAACAATCAATTTAGGGCTATTGAAAATCTATAATATTAAAAATATTAGTTAAAATTTGAAAACTGTCATTATATGACACATGGGAGAAATTCTCTCATGTGTCATATAAGGACACATGAGAGAGTTTCTCTCGGTTGTCAATTTGACTAAAGATCTACTAGCAGAATTTCAACAATGTTTTGAATTCAGAATATCAACCAAATATTTGTTTGAAATCTCCTATTATTAGAAACTAAATACTCGTTTATCGAATATTCTAGTTTGAAACCTCCTCACTTTAAAGAGGTTCAATTTTTTACACTTGCAAAACTTAAAAAAATGCTAACGGATGTTTTTTACAATTTTTTACACTTGCAAAACTTAAAAAGATGCTAACGGATCTTTGCGAAATTTAAAAATGAAATAAATAAAATATAAATAGAGCCGTGTTTAAACTGCAAGAAAAAAATATCACTGAAATAATAAGTGCAAATGTAATATTCAACAGTCGGCTCGATAAAGTTAAAAAAAATAACATATAACAATAACATTAATTTTAAAGTAAATAATATAAGTGGAATAAAAAGCAGTTAAAACTTTTACAAAAAATTTTATCAAAAAAAAAAGATACACACTACCATTGGTTCTGTGGAGAAAGTTTTTACCGACAAAAAAAGTCTCTTCTGTTAAAAAAATCTCTAGGATGTTAAAAAATTGTTTCAACCTTTTTAATATAAGAATTTCAAAGGCTAAAAAAATTTTTATCAATTCAAAGAGTTATTGACTCTTAAGAGTTATTGATTTTTTTTTTTTTTTTTTTTAAGTTGATTAAGGTGCCCCAAGAAGTCCTTACGGTCTTATCACAGAGCACCGCGGAAGAGCATTTAATAGGAAGTTCACGCCTCCTTCCCAACTGAGTTCATAAATGTTTTTGGTTTAACTACCAAAAATTATTCTTAGTTCAAAATTAGTTCAAAAAGAGACTTTTTTTAAGTCTTTTTTTGAACTTCTTTAGGACTTTGCTTAGTCGGTTTGCTTCAAATTGTTTAAAATAAAATTAAAAAACGTCCTTAATTTATACGTGATTATTCATCAAAAGAGCTAGAACGTGTTTAAGTCCATAAGTTTCCTTAAAAAAAAAATTATTTTTTCATTCAAAGTTATAATGTAAAAGTAAACAAAAAAATAAATAAATATTGGTAGTTGTAGTTTTTTTCTCTTCTATTTCCTTAAGGAATATTCTACTGTTTAAATGTTTTTGCAATAGTTAAAATAATTCCAGCATCGAGCAAAGTTCTCACTTAAAAATAGTACTCAAGAACATGAGATTTTACAGGTCTGAAAATTAAAGATTCCATAATATATCGCATTTAATTTATATAAAATTATATAACATATAAAGTCTTTTGTGGCAAATTTCATTTTAAGTGAATTTTAAATGATTGCTTATAGTCCACTGTTAGATCTTTAGCGTTTTCCTGTATTAACAGTATAATTATTTATCTTGCAGACCAGATGTTTTACGGTAACATCTTGATTATTTTAACTATTAACCGACTGACGAATAATACCTTAACTACATTCAGAATGAAAAGTTTCATGCTTCATTGTTAGTTTATTTTGAATAAACGGCGCCGCTTTTCAGTAACAGTTGCTTATTTTCGCGCTAACTGTTCTTATCCTGTAATTTCTAAAAGTAAGTCATTTTTCAATTGAAATGTATTAATTTATTATAAATGTTATGAATAAATAAGTGAGAAGTTAGTTTTGACCAGACACAATCCCTCTATTAATTATAATCCGTCTTTGTCACGAAGCTGCGCTTTTAAACCGGTATTTGTTTTGTCTTATCTTGTTAATATAATTAATTGCCTACAATTTTATTAATTTTAATTTCTTAACGTGATTTTTGTTACAAATTTTTAAAAATAATTCTTGCCAACAAATTATTTAATCTGAATGGTATTGCTATTTGATTATAAATTTAGCTGCAGGTCAAAAAATTAAAAATAAAATTTTAACTTTCTAATCACATTTAAATAAAGACCTGAAAATGCAGGCTTTTATTTAAAGTTTAAGCAACAGTTTTTAAAAGTTAAACAAAATGCAAATTTTCAACTAATACAAATAAAAATACAAAATTTGCATAAAACTATCAAAATCAAAATAAATTAATAAAATGTTTTTATGCACAATTTAATGTTTTGGTTTTAAATAAGAGTTATTGTACACCCCTTAGGTAAGATAAAATAATAAAAAAGATTTAATGGATATAAAACCATACAGAGGCCCACCTCCTCGTAAAGATCTTGTTCTTTCTCCAAGAAGAGAAGAAGATTGGAAAGGAAATGGTAAGTTACTAGTTTGTTGCAAACTTTTTTTATCTACAACATTTGATAAATATATAGTAAGAATTCAAAGTTCTTTCTATCCATTTATAATCAACAACTTTCCTCAAATTTATGAATTTTGTTTTATATCGTAAGTTTTTTTATTTTGAAGTTATAAAAATGTATAGATATTTTCTATAATTTCAAAATAAATGCAAAGATTATCTTTGCATTTCTTTTGAAATTATAGAAATTATAAATATTAAATAAACAAATATTTTTTAACATTTTAATGTTAAAAAATATTTGGTTCTACACCTAGTCTACAAAATCAAACATCGTACCTATTCTATCTACAATCCAGTTAAGAAAACAAAAATTGAGATCAAATCTACTAAATCAGAAACTGACCTCGGAATATATCTCGATAATAACCTTCTATTCTCTAAACATACCTCCATACAAACTAATAAAGCAATGCAAATGCTATTTTTAATTAAAAGATCCTTCTCTTATCTAAATTTATTTTGTTTTAAATGACTATTTTCAGCACTAGGTCAACCATATTTAGAATATTGTGGATCTGTATATAACCATGGTCTACTTAAAGACAAACACTAAGTTGAAAATGTACTCAGAAGAGCATCTTAATTACATAGATTACAAAATTAAAAAGACTACTAAAAATTGATATGACAACCATAAGATACAGACTAATCAGTGGAAATTTAATAACGTCTATAAATAGCTAAACAACTGCTATAACTGTCAAATGATTTTTCCAAAAACAAATAAAAATTCTATTACAAGAAGTCATTTATTTAAACTAGAAAAACCTTATTGTTGTCTAGGTACTTGTCAAACCTTTTTCATCTTAGGGGTAATCAACAAATAAAACTCCTTCCCCGATGATGTTGTAAATACGCCATTCTTAAGCAATTTTAAAAACAAACTAGACTATCATCTAATAGAATGAATAATAAAAATTATGATAAAAGATTAGAAAATATACCACATACATAATATATTTGTATGACAGGTTGACAGGCATTTATGTCTATATAAATCTGATATGGAAACCTTATAAAATAATAATAATAATGTCCTAATCTATTTGCGTCTATTTCTACATTGAATTTCTTTCTTCTAATCTTACTACTATTATTATTATTATCATCATTTTTTTTTTCTTCAATTATTACAAATTAAAATTAGTTTAGGATGATTATATTACTATTACTACTTTATTATTATTATATTATTATTGTTTTTATTATTAGCATTATTAGTCATATTGTGTTTATTAATTGGTATCATCAACTTGGTATCACTCAACAATCATCAACTTATTATAATAAAATATTATGTTTATAATTATTATTGACATTCTTATTTTATAACTATGAATTATGATTGTTAAAAATGTAATAATTATTAATTTCATTTATACCTATAAACTATATTATTATTTTTATTGATTTATAATTGATGTATATAATAATAGTAGTGGTTAAATGCTATAAATTGCTATCTATTTTTTAAATTTTTATAAAAAACAGATTTATTTAAAATAACAACTGATATGAATTCGAATTCAAATCGAGATGAAAAGCAGCAAACAATTGGATATACTAGTGATGTAGCATATGGACCTCAAAAAACACAGCGTGATTATGGAAATGATTACTCTAAACTTGCATTAAATGGAGGTCGAAAAGGTAATTTTCCAATTTTTCATTTCTTAGTATTTTCTCTGTTTTAACTCTTGACCAAATACATTTTGATACCATTGAAGGTATAGCAAGGAGAAGAAACTACTTGTATTTTTCTTTTCTTAGAATGGCTTATTGTGCTGTATAAACAATTTTGGAAAAAATATTTTTCAAAGGTGTTTGTTCCATGTATCAGCAAAATACAATAGTTTTTTATGGTATGTTTTCATAGCAACAAGACACAATTTAAATAGACAGTGTTTTGTTTGTTATTTTTATAATTAGTTTGTTACCTAATTTTGTTCTATCTTCTCATTCATCAGATTTTTATTTTATCATCTTCACTATAACATTATTCAGAGTGGCCACTGGTCATGGTCACTGGTCAAACATTATTTCATAAAATTATCTTAATACTGACTGAGATGATGTTATCTTTTTGCTGATATTTGTGTTTCCTATTTTACCCTTTAGATTCAGACAGGGATAAAAGTTTTAAGTTTTTTCTTGTAGCTCCTATGTAAAGCTGCACTTCTCTTTGAATTTTTATCTTTCTTTGTCAGTTACTATCTCTTTTAATAACCATGTTTTTCATCAGACAAATTCTATTTCGAACAAACATCTTTTTATCATAGAAGGTATATAGTTTTTTTAAGGTGATTAAGTGTAAGTTTCATAATTTTAACTGTTTGTAAATGCAAACTGTTAATAGTGGGAATTTGCATATGTTTAAAGCATTGTAAAAATGTAATTAATTGCACTTATAAACACTGACATTTATGTAGTTATGTATGGGCAAATCTACATAAATGTGAAGCAGTTGTATAACCATACAAACTATTTCAAAGCAATATAATTTTCCATAGCAATAGCTAGGTATATCAAAGCAAATAATTTTAAATAAATAATTTTAAAAACAACAATTGAACTTTTTTTTATAGATAACATTAAAAAATGACTGGGCTATTATTTGGGAAAAGGAATGATGTAACATAATTTTTGTAGGAGCAAAAAATGATATTTTAACTAATATTTTAAATATTATTAAAAGGTTTATTACGTATGGATAATGATGAAGAACTTTCTGAAGAAAGACGGCAAAAAGGGTGTGGTGAGCTTTCTGAATACTCTAGATTAGCTAGACAAGGTGGTCATAAAGGTATGTTATTTATATTTTTCCCCATATTTTTATCCATTTAACTAACCATAAAATTATTTAACTAACCATAAAATAATTACAAATTTATTTATAAATTTGCATCAAAATTAAAAATTGTCAATCACTTGTCAAAAATCCACAAAAATCATATACAACAACAAAAACAAAACACACACACATATTCCTCATAAATAAATGATTATAAAAATTATATATATATATATATATATATATATATATATATATATATATATATATATATATATATATATATATATATATATATATATATATATATATATATATATATATATATATATGTATATATATATATATATTTATATATATATATATTTATATATATATATATCAGGCCTTGTTTTAAATAAATGCTTAATGCATTAGCTTAATAAGGCGATATTTGATATCATAAAATTCTCTTTATTTTTTTATTTTTCAAATACATTAATTTTTTTGAATTACTGCAATTGTATTAGGAATATACTATAAAGGAATGTTTACAATAATATAAGGAATATACTTTGAAGGAATGTTTATTTTCTTTTACTTTTTTTTTAATGTTAAATAATTAAATTTAATATTGCGTTTTTTTTAATTTTGGTATTAACAAATTTCTTCCTTTTCTCAACATTTGCATAAATAATTTAAAATACGTTAAATTTTGAAGTTTTTAATGATTATTTCTTAAATTTCTAATGGTGACTTTGGAACTTCAAATGATTTATATATATATATATATATATATATATATATATATATATATATATATATATATATATATATATATATATATATATATATATATTATTTTTTAATTATCTTCGCTTCAAACAAGGCTGCAAAGCAACCACTAATTAGTATTGGAAGTTACTGGAAGAGAAAAGATGAAGATTGTAGAGCAAGATAACGATTGACAGACGACTTAAAAAGTTGCAAATTATATGAATCAGGAAAGCAAGATGAAGGAAGCGAATTCCAAAGAACTGATGTTCGAGGAAAAAAACTAGACGAATAAGAGTTTTTGGAGCACTTAGGAACAGTAACAGAAAAAGGATAAGACTTAATTGAATGACGAGTAACACGAGAATGAATTTTAGTAGATGGCACAAGAGACGCTACCTCTTTCGAGCAGTGCCCATTATAATATTTGTAGAAAAGAGAAAGAGAAGCAACATTACGACGATGTGATAGAAATTGAAGGTTGGCTGCAAGAGCAGGTCCAACTATGTTTACAATGCGTTTTTGCACCTTGTCTAAAAGAGAAAGAGCATCATTAGAAGATCCGCCCCAGATATGGCAACAGTATTCCATACAAGGCCGGATTTGAGATTTATAGAGATAGAGAATAGAATCCAGAGTAAGAAAGTGACAAGCTCGATAAAGAGAAGCAACTTTAGCAGATGCTAATTTTGCAATGGATTTGATATAAGGTTTCCAAGAAAGATCAGAAGTAAGAGTTAATCCTAAAAGGGTAGGAGATGAAGGGTAAGGGTAGAAGATGAAGGGTAGGAGACTCATCGAGTACATTACCCTTCATAAATATAGGAAGGTCTAAACTATTGCAATAACGATTGGCCAAAAAAAATTAAGTTTTATCTGAATTAAAGTTCACCAGCCACTGTGAACCCTATGCTGTAGCAGAAGTGAGATCCTTTTCAAGCTCAGATGCCCCCTGCAAGCAATCAGAGGGAGTTGGCTTCTTATCGTGACAAGAAGAAATGGTAGTATCATCAGCGAACAATGCCACCTTAGATGTGAGAATATCTGGAAGATCGTTAATGTAAATTAAAAAGAGCATAGGGCCAAGGATTGAACCTTGGGGAACCCCTGAGGTTACAGAATAAGAAGAAGAGTGCTGTCCATCAAGGACAACTTTTATACTATGATTGGAAAGGAAGGATTCAATAATCTTAAAAATGTTTCCAGATACACCGCAAGAAGAAAGCTTATGGAGAAGACCAGCATGCCAAACTTTATCAAACGCTTTAGAAATGTCAAGAGCAATGGCCTTAACCTCTCCACCTTTATCTAATGCGCGATAAAACCTATCGGTTATTACTGATAGCAAATCAGCCGTAGAACGAGAAGATCGAAATCCATATTGATGATCAGAAAATAGGTTATGAGGTTCGAGATTAGAGATTAAGTGTTTGTTAATTAAAGATTCAAAAACCTTGCTTATGATAGGAAGAAGACTAATGGGATGGTAGGTAGACGAATTGGATCACTCTCCATAATTTTTAAAAATAGGGATAACAGATGCTGCTTTCCAGCAGGCTGGAAAACAAGCCTCTGATAAGCACTTGTTAAATAGTTTTGAAAGGATAGATGACAGCTCCGGAGAACACTTCTGCAAGACTATAACAGGTATGTTGTCCGGGCCGCAAGCTGTAGAAGAGTCTAAGCGGGAAATCACTTAAGATTTTCCAGAAGCTGGAGTGATACGAATGTCGAGCAATGGATCAACCTGTTTGACAGCTATATCAGGTAGAACGCAACTAGTGGCATCAAGAGATGATATTGATGAAAAGTTCTTGGCAAACAATTCAGCTTTGTCTTTAGGTGAGGTGACAAAGTCTAAACCGTACAAAAGAGGTGGAATTACAGACTTGCCCTTATTATTGATGCTATTAAAGATTCTCCAGAAGTCACGAGAGCCTAATTTTTGTGATAAAATAAGAGATTTCATGATCTGAGAATAGGGGGCTTTGGCATTAGACAAAACCTTTTTACAATGGTTTCTAGCAGTAATAAACAGACGTCTGTTTTCTGGAGAATTTTTTTGCTGATAGATATGGAAGTAATGGTTTCAATTGGCAATTGCAGCAGCACAATGTGAGGAAAACCATGGAGAAGAAAAAACCTGGAATCGTCAAGAGGGAATAAAAGATTCCATGCCAGCCTGAATCCACGAAGTTATGTAAGAAGCACATTTGTCAACAGGGAGACGAAAGATTTCTACCCCGGGGCCATCATGAAGAAAATCATGGAAAGAGTCCCAGTCAGCTTTAAGGTAGTTGTAAGATGTACGATGTAAGGAGGATTTTGATGGTAAAGAAGAATGAGATAATAGCTTTAGAGAGACCAAACCATGATCAGACGCACCTAAGGGTGAGTGTGAAGAAACTGAGCACTGACTAGGAAAGTCAGTGCTCAGCAAAATATTTTTATGACAAAATAAGGCTAAGCAAAAAAAGTTTTAAGGGGGCATTAAAAATAATGATTTTCCTTTATTTTTTTTATATTTATTTTAAAGAGCAAAGCAAAAATGTAAATTGCTATCTGTTTGTAAAATATATTTGTATAATTTTAATGTAACAAGTATGTATTGTCCCTATATGAATATGTCTATGTAATGCATGTGTATATTTTTATGACAACATTTTATATTATATAGTTATATTTATTTGTTTTTCAGTATGCACATTTAACTTATTTAAGTGTTTACTTTGTTTGTGGTTCGAATCCCACTTCTATCCATTTCTAAGAATTGTTTTTCTTTTAAATACTGCTAGTCATTTATTTGCTATGTAACCATTTATCTTTTCTTTTTTGTATATAAAAAATCTTTTTGTTTTATATTTTTGAATGATACACATCTCTTCACATTCAGATTTTTTTTCAAGCCTTTCAGTGTATTTTTTAAGTAAGGTGCGTACACATATACATAGTTTTTAAGCTTCAATTAGGCCATGAAGTCTACATATTTTTCACATAGCATTGTTTTCTAACCTGTCCCCTCACTTTTGGTCTACTATGTTATTGGTAAATGATTATTAATAATAATTAATAATAATTGTTATGCAACTATTAAAAATAATTATAAATACTTGTTTATGTATATTTCACCAATCGCATGGTAGACCAAAGGGGAGGGGCTGGGTTAAAAAACAAAAAAAAATTATGAAATGGTGGGATTCAAACCATGGACATTCTGTGTATAAAGTAAGTACCTTATCTAAATAAGCTAAACATGCACATACTAATAAAAAAGTATATATAGCTATATAATAATAAAGTTATGCATAGAAGTATACACATCCGTTACATAAACGTATTTATATATGGGTAATATATACTTGTTACATTGAAGTTATACAAATATATTTTACAAACAGATTGCAATTTACATTTTCGCTTTTTTTTTTTAATTTTGCTTTGCCCAACCTAATTTTGTTGCTGAAAATAACAACCAACCTAAAAAAACAAAAATAAAAGCAGTACACAAATTGTTGAAATTATCAACTTTTTTTTTTTTTTGATTTAATTTAATTTTTTTTTAAACAAAGTAATGAAATGCTTTATATAATAAAATTTGCAAATGGTCATGACCAATTTGTCTAAAAAAATACTCAAGCGTGGCATTCCAGACAAAAAACCGCATGTATTTCCTAGAAAGGCTTGCTATCTAGGAAATGCATGCTTTTCCTAGATAGCAAGCCTTTAATTTTAATTGTTAATTAGTTTCCTCGATTAAATTAAATGGTTTTGATATAAACTGCACTCAAATTTGTCTTGTTATAAGACAAAGAGTAGTAAGAACTGTCCTTCACCACAAACTGTAAGTTCAGGTGTAAAACTATAGAAATATATATATATAGAGAATTGTTTTTTTGTCTTTTTGTGAAAAAACTGAATTAGGTTGATATAGATTTAATGAAATAATTTGGTAATGTGTTTCTGTGTGGCTTTGTGTGTGTGTTTGTGTGTGTGTGTATATATATATATATATATATATATATATATATATATATATATATATATATATATAAATATATATATATATATATACATATATATATATAAAAGTGAGCCTCAACCTGACTCTGCATCCGCTAAAATTAGCCAAACATGTTTAAGTCAGATTTCAAATGCTGGGTTTATTAATGACATTACAAACTTTGTTGGTAAAAACTATTGATGATATAAAAGACCTGTTAAAGTTGCCATGGAAACCATCAACCGACTACAAAATGCTGCATTCAGTTCACATTAAGAAAAATAATTGATAAAACGATATCTTAATCATTCTCATCAGGAAAAATACAAATGTTTAGTAGATTCAGATAGAAATAAGGAACTATACTGCAAATATTGTGCACAATTTTTATACCACAGGACTGCAGGATCTCACAAACAAGTTGCACTTCAGAAGCTAGTTAAGCAATCATTACAGGTGTTTGCTAAACTGTTTAGCAAGGACGAAGATCTAACAATTCACAAAAAGCAACATATCACAAGGAAGGTGTTTTTTTAAAAACTAAAATAAACCAGCAAAGGCTATTTTTAAACAGAGTAAACACTCATAAGCTTCAACAAATGTTTCAACCTATTGTTGAAACAATCATATTTTTAGGAAGGCAAAATATTCCTTTTAGACATAGACGATGGTGATTCTGATGTAATGACAAATAAAGGTAATTTTCGAGAGCTGCTAAAATTTAGAGTAAACTGTGGCGATTTAAATTTAGAAAATCATTTAAAGACAGCTAGAGTTTCTGCAACATACATTAGCAAAACTACACAAAATGCTTTTATTGAATGCTGTGGAGAAGAAATATGTGAACAAATTGTGAGTTGTGTTAGAGGCTTAAATTATTATGCTATTATGTTTGACGAAACAACTGATGCATCACATCAATCACAAATGACAGCAATACTACACTATTTGATGCCTGATGGATCAGTTTGAGAAGATTTTGTTGGATTTGTTAATTTGCATGATCAAAATCATCAAACTAAAAATAATGCATCCATTTACAATGAACTTATTCTTGGCGGTAAAGTTATTGGTCAATTGGTTATAAACATATTGGAAAGAAAATATACCTTTCTTTAGAAAAATGTATCTGTGTGTTAACAGATGGTTGTAGTGTTGTGTTGTCATTTCAAAATAGTAGCAGTAGTCGAAATTCAATAAGTTTCTTCAAATGCTTTTTGGTGTCCATGTTATAATCATGTAATCTTTAAATTTATATAATCATACGATCTTTAAATTTAACTTTATCCAAGAGTTCGAATGTACAAGCAATAAAAAATTGTTTGGGTGTTATTAGCGAAGGGTTTGGGTGTTATTAGCGAAGGGTTCGGGTGTTATTAGCGAAGTTTTTGCTTTTTTCAATGCTTCTGCAAAAAGAAGTTTTATTAAAAAAATGCTAAAAAATATTATTAAAAAAATTCACAATTGCTTTCACTCTGCAAAACACGATGGGTTAAAAGACATGATGTTTTGCTGACATTTAGTGTTAAGCTTCCACAAATAATTGATGCACTGGACAATATATCTAAATGGAATGTCACAACATCTTCATTTAAGAATTTTATTATTATCAATTAGAAAAAGTGATTTTATTGTATCTTTAGGCTATGCAATACATGTGTATACAAATGGGCTCAGTCATAACCCTTTTGTTGATCTTTGACTAATTTATAAAATAGCCGAACATAACATGCACTACACATTTTCTTCTTTATCACTTTTTTTGAAATAATTCCATATAGTTTTAATTTGCGACATGCTTAGCAGAACTTTTGTTTTAAAATTTTGATGTGAATAATTTTTTTAAAAGTCTTTTAAAAAAGTATATTTTTTTATTATTACGCACTCACATTTTCAATTTCACAATTTCAACATACTCATCAACAAAAATTTTAACATAATCATTAACAGAACAAAAAAAATTTGAACAAGTTTCTCAGTATGCATTTCTTTGTGTATTTTATGACTAGTCAACTTTTAAATGGTTACACAAATACATTAAATACTTTAATTTGATATCTTTTTCTTCTTTTTTGTTTAAAGAATTGCTTTTTTTTTATTTATTTAAAAGCAATAATTTCAAAATTCAGCAAATCCTGCGGATCCCCCAGTAGTTTTTGTGGGATCTTGCATGCGCTAAAACAATGTAGGATCCCGCAATGCGGGACTGCAATTCCTAGTTTGGATACTGCTTATCATACTATATATCAGGCTTAGTTGGGAAGCAAGTTTTAGAATTAGAATTAATAATTTCTAAACGTAGTTATTTTATATTTAGAATTAATAATTTCTAAACTTAGTTATTTTATAATTTTTTATAAAACCCAGAAACACTCTTTATATAAAGTAACAACTATTATTATTAATTGTTTAATAAGGAAACAAACATGCTTTAATTTATCAATGAGTTTATAAAAAATAATTTCTTTTATTTAAGTACTTGTGTTTCATTTCAACGGGATTCAAATTAAATTAATGTTGGTTAAATTATTTAATAAATAAAAAAAGTCAATATTTTTATGACCATTTCATGCTTTACGTAGTTTACAAATTTTAAAATATTTAAAACAATTCTTCTTAGTAAGATGTACAAAAGAAATAATTAAATCATTAAGTTACTATAGAAATATAACAATCTTTTCTTTTAGCAGTGTCTTTAAAACGTTTAAAAAATTAAATCCTTAAATCAGCGGTTTATATATTTATTTTTATTTTTTTTTTTTATTTTTATCTCGTTAAGAATTCTTTCCTCTTTTTAGGTTATTTATTTGTAATTGTCTCTTGTGAGTCTAATTAAGCTTTTTAAAATGTTCTCAAACCATTTAAAAAGCTGTGATCAAGTTTTCGCAACTAATTACTGTATTCCTGTTCAGGAAGAAAGTGCGGTTGCAACCAAGTGGTGTTAGCCAGGAATATATGTTTTATAGCACTTTTGCAGTATTGGGAATATTTATTGTTATTATTCTACAAAATATTTATTTTGCAGAACAATAAAATAAATATTTACTGTTCTATTTATATTGTCCTAATACTTGGGCTGGTTAACACCCTGATATATTTATGTGTATATTTATATATATATATATATATATATATATATATATATATATATATATATATATATATATATATTGTTGATGTTTTACCATAATTAAAGAATACTGCAGGAGAATGTTACAAATATATCTTATACTGCTGAGTTAGGTGAGCATGATGACATCATACTAAAATAGCCTGCTGTGGGGGCTTCAGTACATACATCGACTGACAAATAGCCTGACTCACAGTGGAGTGCTGCTACATCGACTGAGGTTTTGGTATGGGTCAGCAACCTTTTCATTCATTATTCTTCGCTTTCCCTTATCATTTTCTCAAAACGCTCACTTAATTTAGACTAGCAAAAAAAGTGAGCAATTGCGCATATAAATATGCTATAGTAGATATATATATATATATAAATTTAATCTTTAGATTTACTGGTTATTGAAGAGAATAAGCGTACAGAGAGAGTAGAGCATCATCCAACATCTGGAGTTTGGTTTGAGTATAACAATAATACATCAGCTTCTCCTCATAGACATAATAAATCTAATAATGATACCATAGAAGTTAAAACACCTGCTGGTAATCTTAATTTATTACATTTAGCTTGTAAAACAACATTTTTTGGGTTGCGATGGGAGTGTATTCTAAATTTAGCTATCATAATTTTATTTTATAGTTGCATTATGATATTATAATTTATATTATTTATAGTATGATAGCATTAACTTATTTAACATAGCTTAACAAATTTTTTTAAATGACTCTTTTTAGAAATGATACAACAACCAATTGTAAGACCCAAGCAGATGAGGTAAGCTTCCTTGTTTTTGTTATTTAATTTGTAGTTAGTGTTTATCTCATATGCAAGAGGTTTTATGAAACTGATTACATTTAAGGTTTTTTTTAACAGTCTCTTAAGTATTATCCAACTATTTGATTCTTTATGAGAATGTCTTAGAGAGGGTGAATGAATTACTTCTATTTTAGCTTTAGTGGTGAATTTATAAAAAATCTCAATACCATAAAAAAAAATTTTAAATTATTTAAATTTTTTTAATTGAAGATTTGATTTAAGCTTATTTATTTTTATTTTAAGCACACAAAAAAAGTTTAATTCAATTGTTAAATTCAATTTAAGTTAATTGGCGTCATTAAATTTGAGCTTTATGTACCTTTTATGCAGAAAGTTTTATAAATTTAATGATTTTTAATTTCAGCATCTTTTTTTTGCAGAATAAATGGCTGTTTACCTGATGGAGAGGAGTTAGTAAAAAAATCAGGGAAGAAGAGATTTGATAATTCAGGAAGAGCTGAGGCGCCATTTGCCACAGATTACTGAAACATCATTTTTAAAGTATGACTTATTGATTGTAATTAAATAATTAAATACATTATGTATATTTTTAAATATATTTATATACTTTATGACACACTGTTAATAAATCTTAAATTAAAAGACAATGCAATGGCTCTATTAGTTATTTAAATTGTTTTACAACAAAGATTTTGTATTTTTTCATTATACTGTTGTGTGACTGTTCCTAAGTGTTCTAAAAATTCTTTCTGTTTTTTTCCTCAGACATCAGTTCTTTGGAATTCGCTTCCTTAATCTTGTTTTCCTGATTCACATATAGATTGCAATATTTTAAGTTGTCTGTCAACCGTTATCTTGCTCTATAAACTTCCAGTAACTTTAATAGTTGTTGCTTGCAGCCTTGTTGAATGTGAAAAAGAAAATATATATCTCTTTTTTCTCTTTAGAATGTTCTTCAAGTTTTAAAAAGTAAAGAGTAAACTTCAATTTATTTGACAGAGCTAAAAAATATTTTGAGATATGTTTCTCTAAATTTGCTCTAAATGGTTCTCCTCTAAATTTTGAATTATGTCTATTATAATAACCTTGTTAACTTAAGTTTACTTCTGGTTACTTGAAGTTCTAATGTTAATGGGGAAAACATGTTCAGGATAATCTTTAGTGATCTATGTCCTCCATCAATACATGGGTAATTAATTTAACAATTTTCTCAAACTGTTCTTGAATTGACGTTTTTTTACGTTGTTTTTTATTTAGTAGAGTGACCTGTTAATAACATTGTTTTTCTAAATCTTTTTATATCTTCTATCTTTATTATTCCTAACACCACACAATCCAGAAGATCATGATTTATTTTCAAATTCAGGATGGTTTTTATCTACCTTATAGATATTCGCTTTCTACACTTTGACAGGTATTCTCTCCTGGTGTAAGATTTATACTTTCACTAACAATTTTTATTTCCACAAGAAACAACTGTCTACAAAATAAGGATTGCATGAAATAATTAAATTATTAAAATTTTGAAATTTTTTTTTTTTATATATAAATAAAACTTTTTCAATTTCTTCATAATTAAAAAACTTCTGGGTGTCTAATAACACAATTGCAAATGTGATCTTGCTTCATTTTTCCTAATTATTAACTATATGATGACCTTTTTTTTTACATTTTTTACAGGTTAAGGGTGGTAACTGATACTTCAATTACGAGTGGTAACCAATTTACAATTAATAAAAAATAATCAATTAACAAATGGTTAATCACTTAATATTTTGTTTTAAAAATAAAAAATTTATATATTTTTTTTTATTTATATTTTATTGTTTTAATATCAATTAAGCATTTTTTAAGAACCAATAAATATTTTCTTTCTGATACTGGTGAGAAACGTAAGCAATACATTTACAGGCAGTACAGAAGCCTGATTGTCATTTACAATTTCTTGAATAAAATTGTTCTGAGGTTTGGAAACATTTTTTTTTATTGGAAAGTCAATATTTAAGTGCAAGCATAGTTCAATCAAAATTAAATTCCATTTATGGACTTCAAGTTTTTCAAATCTTTCAAAACACAAATATTTTTCCAACCAAAGTTGTTTCAGATAAGTCAAAAAAATGTACAGCCAAGTATTCCTGATGACAGTATTAAAATATGTAATTAAGTTGAAGAACTATTATGTGGTTTAACAACTGTTAATTGTATCTTTTCTGCAACTTTGGCTAATAGAAAAGATTTATCAAAAATGACTAGAAAGCTCAAAAATTAAAAAATCCCTGATGATAGACATGCTATGAAGGCAACTGTTATGAACTATAAATCCTCAATAAAGTTAAATATTGCTCAAAAGCTTCACCAAAAATAAGTTAACTGCAGAAAGGTTTTCAATTTCTCTTGATGAGTGAACTTTAAGTGGAACTGTAAGGTATTTGTGTCATAATGAATATTGTTCAGACAAATTTCATTATGGTCTTGGAATGATTAGAATAGATGGTTCATGTCTTCAGAAAGAAGGTTTCATCAAAGGTTTGTATAATTTGCAAGCTGTTTAAAAAGTAATACCTATCAAAACATTTGTAGATTAGCAAAAGAGTTTAGGCCTATTCTGTAATATAAAACAAAATGTAATTCTCTAATTAGTATGTTGAAAGGTATGTTGAAAGGTATGTTGAAAGGTATGTTGAAAAGGTATGTTGAAAGGTATGTTGAAAGGTATGTTGAAAGGTATGTTGAAAGGGTACTTGGAATTAAAAAATGTTTTTTGAAAAGCTCTTGAGGTTTTATCCAGAACATATTTTATTTTATCAGAAGAAATAAAACACATATCAGATAATGTTCAGGCTCTTTGTGTTGTAGGGTTGAGTGTTTTGGCACTGGGAATAAGAGATTGTGATCTGATAAAATTATTTTGTTTTTACTACAAAATTTTAGAGATCAAAATACAAACATTGATCAAAAGTTATTTACTGTTGTCCCTGAGAGAATTGCTGAAAAAAGTAATAAAAATAATGCTCTATTGTCTTAGTAATTAAATCCACTACTCCACTTTAAATTAATACTATATAATCAAGATGACTTATTTTAATTAGATATATACCTAAATATAAATGAAATTACTAAAGCAGCTCAAGAAGTATATGTGCATTAATTTTTACATGAGGAAATAGAAGTAGCACAAGAGTTTGATATTGAATCCACTTGTAATGTAGAACCATTATAAAAAATAAAGCTGAAGAATTAGCAGAAATGATATAAAGTATAACTTCAGCAACAGTAAGAAGTTGTAAGTTCATCCTCTCAATAAATTGTATTAAAAAAGAAGTGACTGGAAAGTACTGGAAAAAGGCTTTTTAAAAAAGATTTTCAATGTCATGTTAAGCCTTCCCTCATTTTCTATAGAAGTTGAAAGAAGTGCAGCTGTTGTTTATCTGTTGCTAGACGAAGAACTAGGTTAAATGATGACACTGTTAATAACTATTTGATTTTTTAAAAAATCATATCTGATTAAAAAAATTATATCATTAGTAGTTACTAAATTAACATTTGAAATGCTTATTAAACTTGCTAATAGGGGTTGCATCCCCAAATAAGTACTTGACCTTGCTGCTAGTTATTTACAACATAAGAAACAAACTAATTTATTTAAGAACAGTAAATAAAGCAAAGCTTGGTACCATTTGCATTTGATGGAAAAGTCAGACAAAGTTTCACTTCTCTATCAAATGGGCAATAGAATCTTTCTGTTTATTAATACTATAATACGAGATATGTATTAATTGTCAAAGCATAGTTTGTTAGACTCAAAATAAAGTTTGTTAATTAAATATTTAAAGAGTTTGTTAATAATAGTAAATATACTACTAATAGTAAATAGGGTGTTAGCTAAAGTGGACAGAGCAATCTCCAGAGTTTTAAAAAGTTGGAAGATGCCATTAAGTTAAATAATTTTGAGAGTAAAGAAGAGAGTTCTAGAGAAGTCTGTTATTGCTTTCATCAAATGTTGGATCATCAATTAAGCAAGAGAACTGCAAATAAAATTGCAACACTAAGAGCAGCTTCTTGTACTGAAGATAATATAAATAAAAAGATGTTGTTAAACACAAGGGAACCAAACTCACATTTGCTCTAAAATTCAGTTTATGTTCTGATGGAGCTAAAACATACTAATATATACTTTGTAAAAAGGATCCAAGCCTATCATTAGTGTGTGTCATTCTGTTACATAGGAGCCAACCTATTTAGCAATTTGGCAGTTTTCTCAGATAACAATATAGTATTTTGTCATTTTTCTCAAAACTAATTTTTTCAAGATTGGTTCCTTTGTGTTTAACACCATCCAAATATTTCAGCTCTTGCAAGGCTCAATTTTCTTAAGCAAACATCAATGAATACTCTGCGTCTAATGTCTTAAATATTGGATTTCAAAAGATTGGCTTGTTTCCACTAGACATAAAAATCAAAATTCACTAGACATAATCCACTAGACATTAACATCACAAAATCCGCTATACATAAACATCAAAATTGAAATCAAAATTGCAAACTGCAGAAATATTTCAACCACCAAAATCTGCTCAAACTGTTAACAGTTGTTTATACTTCTATATTTTCACAAGTTTCCCCCAACGCCAGTCTCAATCAATCAGTCTCAATCATAAATTGTGATAAATCTGAAAACAAATGTTGATCTAATTGGAATTGCTATTCAAGAGAGCAGAAGCTCTTTAGAAGGTGCATTAAAAGAACAATTACAAGTCGATCATGTTAACACTACTAGGCAAAATGTAAATACTAGGGGCAAAATTTCATAGTTAACATATTAACACTAGAGGCAAAATTTCAAAGTTAGCAGACCTGAAGGACTCGTGTCTCAATTTACCTGACATGCTAAACGTACTCCAACAATCTGAAGACCAGAAAAATGAGAGACTTTCACTCAAGGCTACGCAAAATAATCAGCCATTAAAGAAAAATTAAACAAATTAAAATAACTAATAGTTACATGCGAAAATTTTAAATGTCAAAGCTGGGTGTGTTTAGCATGCTTGCCAAAAAAATGCTTTTTTGTATAAAAATGTCCAACGAGACGTATATTTTTCACTTCCGTTGTAATTAGTTGTATCGATAAATTTGTTTAATAGTTTTATTTTTATTTATATAAATTGAATTATATTTTTTCTTTATTAATTAATTGTTGCGAAATTTTAATTGTATGGCTAATTAACATGTTTAAGTCAAATAAGAATTTATGCTCAAACTGAATCCAGGGCCCATATGTTTTTTATCACTTAAATCAATGAATTATTCTCAACAAATATAAATATTACCAAATGAAGTTTTGTTCTTTGCAGGCTCGTTTTAAAGCAAAACTTTTTTTGTTTTGTATTGTCTATAGTAGACTATTTGAATTTAATAAATTAATGTTTTCACAAAGTGTTTTAATTTATACAAATTTGCAAAAAAATAATTTGTTAACTGAATTTTATCTAAAAGGATACTTTGTCTGAAATTTGATGTATTTTTTGCCAATTTTTTCTAATCTAAATAAAAAAAGTTTAACTTAAGGCACTCGTGTGATTTCTTTGATCGATTTCAAATTTAAAAAAAAAAATTGTTTTACCTAAAAACGGTTAACTTTTAACACGGTTTCAACATTCACCGATTTTGGTGCTTAAAAGGTTTTTACAAAATCACTTTTTAATGTTTTCTAGCTTTATAAAAAAATAAAAAAAAGAACCGGTTTTTAATTTATTTTTAACGACTTATTTTTAGTTTCAACTTACTGGAAACTGTGGCTTAAGAAGCCTGAAGTAAGAATAATTGAAAACCGCTAAAAAATTACTTAGGGATTTCAGACCAATAACTTTATAAAAAATAAAAATCTAGCGTAGTGGTAAAAGTGTATATGTAGAAAACTTTATTAGAAAATTTCATTTGAAATCTAATGTTCTTACTCCTAATATACCGTTTGTGTTTTCTGATTTTTTTTTCTAAAAGATTTTAACACAAAGGCAATAAAGGAACATATTAGATCAATATTATCCACATTCTATGCTTGCTAGGATTCGATCATTTAATGTAAATTTAAATATTTTCTAGTGTTAAATAATTTGTTGTACTTTTTATTTTAAGGTTTTCGCGACGACGTTTGAATTGGATTTTGTTATTTCGTAAATGTAAAAAAGTTTATAAATAAAATTTGTAATAATACGTGAGTTCTGATAGGATAAATATCACGTATGTTATCTTTTATCTAGTTTTGCGTTTGTTTTTATACCATTTTACGATTGAAAGGAAAATTTTTATTCAATTTTAAATTGTTATTTTGCCGCTAATAGTTTCTTAATGTTAATATTAATTTGTTAATGTTAATAGGTAATATTTTACGCTATTTGTAAAAATAAATATTCCTGCAGTTTTTGAATTAGATTTTAATATGTATATTTATTAAGTATATTTATTTCGTTCATAAATATATAATGATATAATGTTATCTTATTTTAGAGTTTTTTTGAGACGATATACTTTACATTCAATAAAAAAATAGTATTTGTCAAATTTTAATGATTCAAAGCGATTTTTTAAAACTACAACTTGGCAAATTCAACTTGGCAAATTCCGCCTATACTAACCGGCCTCGTAAACGCGTAAATCGGAGCCTGGGGGCCAATAAAAAACAACAACAACTAAGGAAAAGTTAAGTGTAGCATTAACATTTACTCGTAACAAACTGTTTCTATTTAATGAGAGTGAACTATAGCTAATCTATTTATTTTACTTAACTAAAATTTATTCATGACAAGCTTATTACAAAGGAAAAAAAACATTCCTTAGCTATAAAACTTTGTTTATAAAAACAAAACTTTCCTCTGCAAAAAGATGTAATATCTTTCATAAAATCACGCAATCAAAGGCCACAAAAAAATATATTATAAAGTATATTTAAAAATGCTGAAGTTTAAGAAAACTTTAATATCTTTTGTTGTCACTCTTTAGATGACCTTGGTGCGTATAAATTAATAAGTTTTTTTTTTAAATGTTTGAAAGTGAAATAACGTGTTTCTTTTCCTTATTAAAGTTAAAAGACTCTAATATTAACATTAAAACATTGCAGAGTGACTTTCGGCAGACATAACGAAAAATAATAATATTAAGACGTTTTTTTAAAAAAGATACAACACCTTTTGTACTGTTTGAAAACAAATTAAAATTTTTCAGAAAAATATAATTTAGTTATATCTTAAAAAAAGTAAATCCCAGCAAGTTCAAATAAATTATAGTTGCTTTTTTTTTTTCTTATAAACGAAGCTACGCATTGCCCAAACTACCCCACAAGAGGTTCTAATGACATTGGGGCAGTTTAGATAATGTAATAAAATAATAAGAAATGTTTCTAAAAGTTTCATATTTTTATTGAGCAGTAATTATAAACAACAGAATTTAAAAAATAATTACTAATAGCATAAAATATTTTAGTTTGGCTCAATAGTTCAGGACATTTTTTTAAACCATTACTTTATTCCTATGCTAAAATTCTAGCATGGTAATAAGTTAACATATAGTTAATTTTTGATGGTTTCAACATATAATTTTCTAACATAGCTTTCTCTGCATATTGACAGAAATCTATGTTATATACCAATGGATTGGTAAATACTTGATTTAAAAAATACTTGGTGGAAAAATTATTACTTTTTAATTTTTATTATTTCTAAGCATTTTTATTCAAGCCAATAAATTTTTAGAGAACCCAAATATGCCTGCAGCTTCTCTTAGTTTCATTGCTTTATCAAAAATGAGTTTTACTGCAATTTTTAAATTTTCAAAAATATATTCCACAAAGTTTTTGTAAAAATGTAATGTTTTGTAATTGAATATTTTACAGGGTGACAACCATAAGATGAAACACATAAAGTAAGCTATATTTTCAATATTTAAGAGTTATATTTATTCGAAAGTGGTATCAATAGAAAGCTACGAGTGTATTTAACAAGTTTTATTGGTTTAATTCGAACCTGTCGCCCTCTGCTTTTATGCAGGCTCGACATCTCTTGAAAAAGTTTTCACACGCGGCACGCACGGTTTCTTGTGGCATTTTGTCCCAAATGTCGATCAAAAGTTCCTTGAATTGGTCCAAAGTTGTTAATTTATGCTTCCCCAGTTCTTGTAGCATGTATCCCCAGACAAAGAAATCAAGGGGATTGAGGTCAGGAATCGAAGCAAGCCATTCTTTGGTATCGATAAAATCTGGGAAATTTTGCTTGCAGTAATCTTGAACAACAATAGCCTTGTGTGCAGGGGCAGAATCTTGCTGGAACACCCATGGATCATCACCATACATTTCTTTAGCCTTAGGTTCAATCAAATCTTTGATCACATTCTGTAAGTAGTATTCTTTGTTGATTTTCACCCCTCTATCGATAAATTTCAGAGGAAATTTCCCCTTTTTTGAGATGGCCCCGAATACCATGACCGCCGAAGCGTTCTGATAACGAGGGACAGGTCTAACGTTTAAAGGAACATCAGAGAGCTTTACAGCATAAACTCTGTCATTTTGTCTGTTCAACGGGTGCTCCAAAGTAAACATTTTCTCGTCCGAAAAAACAATATCTGCACCACCGTGCCGCTTCAATAGCGATTTGCAAGGCTTGACTCTTTCCACCTTATTTTTGTCAGTGAGGCCGGCAATTTTTTGTTTTGTCAGTGAGGCCGGCAATTTTATAACCTTTTGCATAGAGGTATATGACATGTTCAGCTCTTTAGCTAGCTGCCGACCTGAGCGAGCAGGATTTCTTCGTAAACGTTCTCTTACCACTTTGATGATTGCTGGAGTGCGCTTGACGCGCTTTCTTTTTCTAGTTTTAGCTGGAATTGTTTGCCCAGTAGTTTTGTAACGAGAAATTGTTCGACTAATCAATGATTTGCTGACTTTTATATCATTTAGGCGTCTCCAAATATCAGCTTGACTTAAATTTTTTTTGTGTAATGAAATTATCAGCTCCCTGATAGGATTTAGATCTGTATTTTTCATACAATCCCTCATTTTTTCTTCCTCAAATTTTTAAAACTTTTTCTAAACAAATGTCAAAACAAATTGTAAACAAGGGGAAAGTCATATGGTACGGGGTTAATAAATGATTGGGGTTCGAAAATGTGTTTCACCTTATGGTTGTCACCCTGTATTTTCACTAAAAATGTAAATGATAAATTCCTTGGAGAAGTAATTTCCTTAGTAAATTCTTACGTTCAAAAGCTAAAAAAATTAGAAAAACTAGCAAAGATTATAAAGCGTTTGCAGAAAAGCTAAATGTCTATAAGATCTAAATGTCTTCCTAAAAAAATTCTGTGACGATTACGAGCGAAAGTATTTCCAATTGACTAATATATTTAACTTGGTTGATAACTTTGTATTTTTTTTAATTTCGCATTAACCTAAACTACACCTGTCCTAAACTTCCCCCTTCTCCCCTATATATTAGAGATTCATTATTCTACAAAAACGACATGTCTAAATTAATAAAATTTTAATTAGCTAAAAACTAAAAACTTCAAAATTGATAAACTGGATTATCTACTAGTTACTATGGAAATTACTATGAAAAATATCATTACATCTTTAATGGTCATCTAACCATGACTCCAGAAAAATGAATCCAGAAACAAAACGAGAAATCATTTTTATATTAAAATGAAATCATTTTTATATTAAAATGATTTCTTACTGTATAAGTATTAGAACGAAACAACACATATTAACGCACACAATACCCCACCCGACTATGTTGTAAATTTCAAAAAAAAAACTATGCATCATTCCATCTTAAAACTAATTTAAGCTAACGATTTGGTAACTTTTCTTCCAGAAATACCAGTTTCAATTTGTTATAGCCAATATTTAATACCATTTTTTCGAAGTTTAAGGTTTCCGACAAAAAATCTCTGTTTAAATGTCTTCTGCGAGTTTCTGCGTTCCTTTTTTCCTTACTTGCAATCTTTATTTGCAATGTTTATAATATTTTTATATTTTATCTTAAAAATTTTATAACGAAATACTGTTTGCAATGTAATAAAGAACAAGAAAAACAATTTATAATCCAGTAGTTAAACAAGTGGTTCCATAAAAATATTGTTCTTTCACGTTGCAAGTTTCCAAAATCTCTTTACTATAATTTTGTACATTTAGGGTTTTACACAATGAACTAGTTTATAAATTTTTATTTTTTGCTAAATAAATTTAATCAGGATTGTAACAGGTTGTTTTATTTTTTTATTTTGCAAACAAAGTTTATTTTTTTCATAAGGACAAATCTGACTTTTGGTGAAGTAAACACGTATACTATAGGATCAAGCCAAACATTTATACTAAATGCTAACATGTAATAAAACATTATATTTTGCATATTCCAGTTTTTGTTAAAAAATGAAACTGAAAATAATATTTCAGGCAGTATAATTAAAATTGTTAGAATTATTACCATCATGCTTGATACTAACAATCCTTTATAGTTTCTTTTGCTTTGTTGGTTGGAACTGATATTTGATTTTTGCTTATGAAAACTTATTAATGCATAAATGTAGACAAAACATGATAAACTTAATAAAATAAAATTATAAAATAATCTTGAACAAAAGTATATTATTGTTGAAAAGTTAATATTATTTACTTTAACAAAAAGCTGAGCTAAAATTCCAATTAGGCTAGCTATACTCCACAAAATTATCGTTGTTAATATGGATTTCTTGTTTGACCAGAATGTGGCGTATTTCATGTTAAGTTTTATATGTAGATATCTGTCGAAAACCAACCAACTTAATAAAAGTTGAGAAGATGTCGATAAAATAAAGAGAAATGTAATAATAATAACAAAATACAACAAATGGAATTTGGATGAATGTGGGTATTTTATCAAATATAAAATGTATAACGCTAGTTGAATGACAATGCTTAAAATTAAGTTATTGATACACATCTGTATTAGTATTAAACGTTGTGTTGAATTAAACCAATTTTTAAATTTTAGCAAAATATAAAACCCTATTCCATTCAAAACTAATCCTAAGTTCAAATTCGGAAGTATTGCAACTAAGAAATTTTTATCCATTTTTATTCGTGTTGAAGATTAATTTTGTTTATTTAGTTTCATAATACATTTTTGAAGTTTGCAAGTTTACGTCCACTATAAGTTTATCTTTATCGAATTTGAAACAAAATGCGATATAACTTTGTTAGGGTTTTTCAAAAACAGTACTTTTTTAACAAAACAAAACAAAAAAAAGCAGCTGTTAAATGTTTTCTTTTTATTTTCCGAAGTTTAGCAATAAAATATAGTTGTTTTTACATTAATGTAATTTTGTTATGCCATTAATAAAAGTAAATAACTTTGAATCAGAACATTTCTACTTTTTGTAAAATAAAATTCAAAAACGCATGCGCTTTTAAATGATTTGTTTGAAAGATGCCATCTTATTTAGATACACCCCAGCAAGCAAACGACATTTGTAATAAGCTATTTACAAATTATCTAAAATATATTTTTGATTTATGGTTACCAATTAATTAAAGTTTTTTTGGTTTATTTTTTATTCTTCTTGCAGAAAGTTGTAATGCAATTTTAATATTATTAGTAATGTTAGTAATGATTATTGAAAAGAATCCATGTTTTGTTATTTAACATTGTTGTTTATATTGATATTTATACATTTTATATATATATATATATATATATATATATATATATATATATATATATATATATATATATATATATATATATATATATATATATATATATATATATATATATATATATATATATATATATATATGTTCTTTTAAAGGAGACAGGGGATAACAATAGGTTTTGACTTTCATTTATAATGTATATTTAATGATCATCATATTCCACATCTATGAAAAAAATAAAAAATGTAATACTTGCGTCAAACATCGTTTATCTCTACAAAAATGCTAACTGAAATTTCCGAAAATGCTTATTCGTGTTTGACATTTATTAATAAACTTATTTGCGATCTCAACTAAATTAATTTTGTCTACTGCTTGCACGTGAGTACGAAGAATGAACAAGTTGTTTAGACGGTAATCTGTTGCTGTCGATCGAAAGTAGGTCTTAACTTTTTTTTTTAAAGAGGAGAAAGATCTTTCACTAAGAGCATTAGTAGCTGGCATGACACGAATCAGCTTGGCAATCTTTACAACTTTGGTAAGTAAAGCTCTTTTAGAGTGATCCAAACTCTTGAAAAACAAGATGAGATCTTTGATAGTGAATTTTTTTGATGTCGTATTCTAATGACGTTGGCTTGAGAGAAGGGCAATTTGTATTTTAGCTAAAGATTGGTTAATGACAGTAAAAGTGACAAACTGATTGCAGATGATTTTCTCAACTTTCCTTTTTTATTGACTTGAGAAGAACTTCCTCTTTATATACCTTATAATCAGGTTGATTAAACCTCTGTTTTATAAAACTGATAATAAGATCGAAAGTTTCAAAACACAATTGGCGATAATGTTCTTTTGATGAATTATGGAATTGATGGGTTTTTTGTGGGTTAAGAGTTGCTTTTAAATAATCTGGCGTTTTCCTTTTTCTTGAGAATTTAGGGTTAGCGATACCAAGCTGGATATTCTACTTCATAGCACATTCCCAAAACAGTTAGTGAAATTTGCTACTTCGGGATTTTTACAGAACATTTACGACTTGAGATGCTAAATTCTGTCCTTCCGCTTCCAAAATATTTTAACCTTGGATTACCTTACTTAGATTGTTTGTTTGTTTCAGGAAGCATTCCCCTAAATAGCAACAAAAGATAAAGTCAAATGTCGACATTACAAACTCGATCCTCGAATTCTTGCTTTCAATTCGGTATAACTTAACTCTTGTAATGACTAGCTCCAAAGTTTAATTAGTTCGCAATAGTTATCTAGAATTTCAATTCAAGAACATCGCCACGCGCTGTCCACCTTGTTGGACAAAATTTATGGATAGACTTTGAATTGTTTTCCGTTAGTTCTCGAATAGCATCAGGTTTCTTTTAGGTAATTTTTTGATAAATTTACAAATTTCAAAGGTTTTGTTTAAGTAATGATGAGCTAAAAATGTGCTAATATATTGAAATGGTTCACAAAAGTTGTAAAGTACCAAGAAGTCCTTACAGTCTTATCACAAAGCACCGCGGATGAACATTTAATTGCAGTTTACTTTTTTCTGTACTTCCCCAACCAGAATTAGCGTAATTTAAATAACTATGCATAAATGAATAATAAATTTGGATGAAAATTTTCTTATTGAGGTAGATTCGTGATTTATATAAGATCCCCATGTTTTTAAAAATTTTAGTGTTCAGGTGATATTGAAACTACCTCAATGTTTACCATATTTTGATTTAGTATTTGCAATATTGTTGGTATTTCACTATAATTTTCTTGATATTTACTGCTTATTTATTTAAAGTACGACTATTTACATTTAAAGAACTTAACTTATCAACTTGAGAGTTAGAACTTTCACGGTCATATCTGAATCTTAAATGCCCCATTAGTGATGATCCATATTCTAGATCTACTGAACAAAGAGTATCATGTATGTGTTTCTCAAAATTGGGTTTCTTATTCAGTCCTTCTTTAATTTTTCGCTTCATTTTTAAAACATCTTTTTTAAAAGATGAACTTTCTGGATCTGCTGGAGCAATTTTTAAGTTTTCAACTTTGTTCTTGTTTCTTGTTGATTTAAGTTTAATATGACATAATGGGACCATTCGAATAGAGCCTTTTTTTGATTTTGTATACCATTTCTGTATCATTTTGTGCGCACGTTAATTCTAAAATTGCTGTCTTAGTGTTCACATAATGCTTTAGGCAAAGAAGAGTAACTGAATCATGACAGCAAGGTCCACTAAGACCAACTGGATATTCGCAATAACCTTTAAGGGGTGTCCCTCCTACAAAAAGTAAAATAGCAGGCATCGTGATAACAAGATTTTCTTATAAAAGTTCTTACATATATCCTATTACTATCTGAATGTGTT